TTTTTGATTCTATTCGAATTACAGGATGGATATATATACATGGTAACTCCCAATAGACAATGTAAGAGATATCGACAAAGACGTGGAATATGGAGAAATGTCTTATAAGGAAGTTGAAATATGGATTGAAAGGAAGTTGAAATATGGATTGGTGGATGAGCGATATACACCGGCGCTTTTCTGACAACCACCACCCTGGATCAAATTGCACATTGGGCACTTTTTTTTTTCTGAAAAAAAAATTGCTTTAATGACCCCGATTTTTGCATAGATCAACCTTAACAAGTGAGTGCAAAAGTCGCACTTCTTTCTAAATGTGTAAATATGTACAGCAAAAACAGTGGCTTACTGCCCACCATGATTATCATGGAGTACTTGGAATAAGTGTCACCAACACCATTGATATGTCTATGACTGTACGAACTTTACAGAAGTGAGACATCGATTGTACCCTGATCTAAATCATTTAACTCTCTTACATCTGCCACTTTGTATATACATTTCAAATTTGTTTCCTCTGTAATAGGCGTAAATATTTCAATATCGCGCCTGGTTGATTTATAAAATGAAAAAAAAAAAAACATCATTAATATAGATTAGGACGAAAGGAATGTGTTAAATATAATATTATAGACTATAGACTCTGTATTTGTGATATCATCTTTAAAATATTTCTTTGCTTGCTTGCTTAAGATACCCTAGCTGTAGATAGTTTTGCTGACTTGTTAATAATTGTCGACTCGTCGCGATGACGTTATCAATAAATACTTTTACATCTTAGGATATTTCAAGGCTTGATTTCTACGCTACAATATAAAAAGGGAAATATCGGCATGATGATGAAGAGAGAAGAACCATAGGCGGATATGTCAAGTTATTAACCGATAGATGGCAGTACTAGAGTGGAATATCCGGCTTGCTAAACTCAATATTTAGATTGTCAATGACCTCTGTAGAGGGGGGCGGGTACAACGAGGGCTACAAAAACATGGCTAATCCCCAAATATTGATTATAGCCAGCCATCCCAATACATTAACTATATAGAAATAGTTAAGTATGTACGCTAATGTAACCATCATTTCCATAGATAAACTCTAATACACCGATATATTCAATAATCCCTTGTATTAGAGTTCAAATATCAGGCTCCCAGGAGATTTTATGTAAATTATTTTCTCCTGTGGAAGGGCTTTCGTACCCCTAAAGCAAGAGATTTCTCAATTAAAAATTAAAAAATAAACTTTTCCTTGGAATGTGAAAATTCTGGAAAAATTAAAAACCAATGAAAAGTTTATTTTCATTTCATAAGATGGCGCAAGCCATCATCAACTTTTAGTTGTCCGATATGAAGATGTCTTTTTTCTTCTCTTAATTTTCTCTGAAATCCTGATATTTTCACTTTAACACCAATATATTAACTTTTGGTAATGTGGCATTAGTAGACCTTCTGTAGAGAAGAAATGAAACGCTATTTAGAGAGGCGATATGTTTTCTGTCTCTAGTTGGCCGAACTACGATATCCAAGAATGGATCTACAATGATATACAGCTCAATACAACATTAGAGGTAGATGGAATAAATGTAGACACCGCTGATGTCACTCCCTTCCAATGTTTTACATCGCAGTAAGGAGAGAAGGAGGTTTGTTTGTAGAAAGAAATCCCTGCCATATAGGGTGTGTTTGCATCATTTCTTGCTGATACTAAGTAATTGCGATAACACTGTGTTCTAATAAAAATAATAGTAAACTGATAAGAGTTAATAATTAAGGCCATAGTGTGTGTTGTCAAATATGATCAATTTTACTAATTAAACCTAACTGAAAAAAAAAAAGCTAAGAGGTTTATATATTATGAAGATACGAGTTATGATGAACGCATCTTCTAATGATGCAAAATACTTTGGTAAGAAATGAAAGCATTTAACACACGAATGTTTCTTTGGCGCATAAAACAAACTTCTACTGTCCTAACTGCGATGAAAATATATTGGGAGGGCTTGGCTTATCAGTGGTGAACCCTCCCACAGCGGTTTCGTCAATTTAATTTACCAGAACGCTTATTTTAGAGCTCTAATACTGTATTGAATCATTTTGCTTATATATTCTTACACTGAAGGATGGAATCTCAGAAATGGGTTTTAAGTAAACTATGGACATAAGGTTTTAGGACAGTAGAATTTGGTGATGACTTGCGCCATCTATTGAGATAAATAACAACTAAAAATGGCGCAAGCTATCAGCAATATTCATTTAATTTTCAATAAATGTTTTGATTTCTTCATTTTAGCATCTAATCGAGTATATCTCTTCCCTTTAGTTTTGATTTCAATAAATGCAGAATTATGCAAGTTGCTTTTTGCCTATGATATCTTTTATTTTATTAATAAAAACGTTTCAATATGAACATTGTCATTTTCAGGTGAAACCGAAATAAAATATAGTAATTTTAATTTCTTTTTCAATTTTTATATTATTTGTGTACGTTTCTCCCTCAAAATGGTGATTCAAATTTACAAAATATCCAAAAAAGGAGTGTCATGTTAAAAACCACAAAATATATACAATTAAACCTGTCTATAGCGCCCCCTCTTGGGACTCACCAAAATAGGGTGCTATAGACAGGTCACCTTGCATCGTACTACGTATTTAAAATCGGGCGCTATAGAGAGGGAGGCGCTATTTAGAGGGGGCGCTATAGACAGGTTTAACTGTATATAAAATATATTAGATAGCAGTAAATGGTAAAGTTATCAAGCCAAGTAAACATTAGCCATATAAAAGCGCTATAGAAATACAGAGCGATGAATCTATGGGCAGTCAGGCAAGAGAACAAACTTTTCAAATTTAACAAATTTCTTTCTTTTCTTAAATTATTCACTGAGCGATTTTGGAAATTAGGTTGCCTATGTCCAATAGATCCTTGACATAGAGAACATTGATTTCTTATGTTGTTTGTTGATATTATCTGGTGTGATAAATTTATATTTGTTTTAACGAAAATTTTAATTAGGTTTTTTATATATTAGTAGATTATATAGGCCTTTTATATATTCCTTTCTTTCCCCCTATATATATAAATATTTATATTTTCTTTTAACTTGTAATACTTGTGTGTGTCTGTTTATAATTGTTGACTATCAGCAATTACTTCTATATATTCACTTTTTGTACTTGGCTACCATCCTCCCGAAACTTGTGTATGTGTATTCTATATATATTCTAAATAAAATAGCTATATCCTATACTTGGTGCAGGCTGCACCATATTGGTAAGGGCCAATAGCCCGAAACGCGTCCGTGATTGACTTTAATTGATTTATCAAGAAAATAGGTTGGCCAAATATTATGGAAAAGGCATATAATTAACGTTAAGTTTATTTTTATTCTACTAGATGGCGCTATTCAATCTAATATATATAAATACAAATCTATCTATATAACAACAACAATAACAAAAGCCTTTATTGAGGACCTCTCGTCCTATATAGAAATCTATATAGAAATCTATCTATATGTATATACGAATTTGTATTTTTCCTGTTTATAAATATAATATTATATTAAGGTGCTATTACTTTTTTCCTAAATGTATCCTACATTTCTGCTTGGAGAATTTGCATAAGACTAAAATATCTTAATAAAGCTTTTTGTTGTTGTTTGTTGTTATATGGATTTGTATAATTTCTAAGTTTTAGTAACGTAGTTATACCGAAGGGCTGTTACCCCCGAAATCTTGTATTATCGTGATAGAAAAAGAAAACTCTCCCCTCAGAGAATTGTATTTTATTTATAAAATATTGTTTATTTTGTTACCTTTTTTTTTAATTATTACAAAACACACGCAATATGCTATGTGGATATTTGCATGTAAATGTTTAATCTATTTTATGGACATAGTTTTTAAATATATATACAAATTATATATAGTTTTAGATTATCAAAGAATAGGTATATAGCGTTGGCGATATTTGGATTTCACAAGACTATATCCCGGAAAAAGGCCTCACAGTGTTCTCCCTATCCCTTGTGAACTGGCGAGTCCTGTATGGGGCGAGTGGCCCCAATAAAGGCTTTTTGTTGTTGTTGTTTGTTGTATATAGTTTTAGAGAGAGAGAGTGAAAGTTATTTAATTTTACATTTTAGAGCAATAAATTATACCAGAAATAAAGGTTATTTACATACATATTATCAAAAGTCCAATATATCTTTAGAATTACAACCACTAAACCAGTGGCACAAATATACTAATTAAAACTAGAAATTTCAATTCTTAATGTAATTCAAGTCCACGGCATTTGAGATTGAGTCTACAGAATTTGTTATATTTTCTATATTCTTCCTTTACTGGAAACCATTTGGCTTAAACTAGAACTGTTCATTTGACATTGTACTATTGAAATAGGGAGTGGGAGGGCGCGGCTCAATAGCGATGAGCTAGGCCCTCCCAATATTCTTTATTGATGAAGAGAAAATATATTATATTGCATCCTTAAAGTTGGTATAGGTGTAGAGGTATATGCGAAGTTCGATCCATTAGAATTATTTACATATTTCCATGCGGTGCCCGCCGTAATGGGGATTTATTCCTAGCTATATTTCTCCATCTGTCAAATACATGTCTGATATGTGGATGGTAATGGACAGGTGTTGACGCTATATAGTACTGCATCATGTTTAATGCTGGTATTTTTGTGGAGATCATATTTACCAATATTTGTTTTTTTAAAATTGAGATTAAATATCAAACACAATTACATTTTTGCCTATGATTTTATATGACGAAGATCCCCTTTATAAATTAATAAACACGAGGCGAGGCTGCAAAGACTTGGATGTGGGGGCGGTGAGAAGACAGTGGATGTGAAGACAGGATATCTACATCTCTTGTGACTGGCAATATATTCGACCAGAATAAAGGTGTTGTTGTTTCTTATCACCTTGTACAAAGATTACACAAATTCCATGAGACTCTGATCTCATTGGAATGGGGTAAAAAGAATATCAGAAGTTGGATTCGAACCCACGCCTACAAGAGTAGATTGCGACCTGAACGCAGCGCCTAAGACCGCTCGACCATCCTGACATAGAATAAAGGTAACTATCATGTTTATTTAAATACGCTAATGATGTTCAAATTCTCTCTTTCTGGTGGAGGGTAAATATGCAAATATTATGATTAGTCAATATATATGTATAGATACATGTTATATGATGCATTAGCACGCTATCTGTTATGAAAGTTCCAAACTATTATTGATGCGTATGATTCTTTTAAAAATTAAACAATTTCTACTGTCCTTACTGCAATGGAAACATTAGTGGGAGGGCCTGGCTCATCAGTGGTGAACCCTCGCATTAATTTTTCCATTGCAGTAAGGGCAGTAGAAATTGTTTAATTTTTAAAAGAATCATACGCGTTTATAATAGTTCCAAATATTCATAGATATATGTGCATATGTATATATGTGTTGTATTTATATAATATATAGAGAGAGCCTGCCTTCTCAGCTTAAACACCTTTTTTTTTGCCAAATTCGACCGATTTCTTAACTCTTTCCTTAAGGATGTTATAAAATCAAAGCCGTCCCTGTACTGACGAGAGCCATAGCTCGTGACCATGGTATATAGGTTGTTGGCGCTGTGACATATTCTTTACACCACTTGTATGTTCTGTATTGGGTGATAAACAGAAATATTTTGTTTTGATGTATTTTCATTTATTTCCCCAGTACATAACATACAAGTGAAGATATAAATCCAATAATGAATTGATAAAAACTGAGACCACGCTGATCCGAAACGTGTATATACTTTCCTTGAGGTCATTGATCAATACCAGAAATAAAAATAAATATCAAGGTTAAATTGTTATATTCCGATAGATGGCGCAAACAATCAACAAAGTTTAATTGTTCGATCATAAGAGAGAGATGATACCTTTTTCATCTGATTCGGTAAATTTTACCTTTGTTCCATGATGAATAACATTATAATTTGAGGCTTAAAAACTTCTATGAAATAAGAGAGCGAGCTATCCACAATACCATAGCTGTCCATATTTCCCCAGTACACCTAACACACAAGTAGCGATATATATCCAATAATGAATTGATAAATACCAAGACCAAGCTGATCCGAAACGCGTATAGGCTTTCCTTGAGGTCATTAATCAATACCGGAAATAAATATCAAGGTTAAGTTGTCATAATCCGATAGATGGCGCAAACAATCAAAAAGTTCAATTTTTCAACCATAAGAGAGAAAGAAGATACCTTTTTCACATGATTCGGTAAATTTTACCTTTGTTTCATTATGAATAACATGATAATTTGAGGATTATAAAGACTTCTATAAAGTAAGAGAAGAGAGCTGTCTATAATATCAACATCAACACAAAACTACACATAACATAGAGAGACTATATAGCCAATAAAATATACTACTAATAAACAATATGTTGTATATATATATTAATTAATTGTTTCACAGAGTGTGTGTAAGCTCACAGGTAAATAGGCGCTAACCGAAAAGAGAAAAATGTTCCTTTGTTCAATATTGGTTTCCCTTTTATATTTTGATATCTCTCTTGTAAATCAATAAATATAATGTTTAATTAATAAATATTGGAATCAGTTTCATTAAATATTCTAAGCAAAGTCAACACAATATCATTCTGGCATATCATATAGCCTATATAGAAATAGGTTCCTATTTCCATAGCAAAATTTTATTAAATATAACGCTATGAAATGGATTGGACGTTTTATATGAAATATAATCTAAACAGAGGGACCAAGTCAATGTTTGGTTACTTCTCCATTTTCAGACCGGGATATCGGAGAAATTTGACCATTTGCACCCACCTCACGTATACGTCTACAAAAACCGTCGTCTGCTCTTTTTTATATATTTATAATGAAAGAAGTATTTCAAAGACTTCTAAGGGGTTTCTTGTGTTACAAATGCTTCGTTTTCTCTTTTACTCCTTTGATAATCTCATTGAGGTTTTATATTGGCTATTATGTTCTTTTTTTGGTATTTTATAGATGGGGATTTGATAGACACTTTAATAAATATCCTAAACTTAGGTAGCCCCTGAATATATATATATAAATATAACAGCGGTATGGTAGATTAAACTGGCAAAACCGCTGGGAGGGTTCACCACTGATGAGCCAGGCCCTCCCATTAACTTTTCATTGCAGTAAGGTCAGTAGAAATTGTTTAATTTTTAAAAGAATCATACGCGTTTATAAAAATTTTTGAATTCTCATAACAGGTGGCGCGCTGATGCATCATTATACATGTATATATATATGAAAAAAATAGTACAAATGTGATATTGTACTGGGATAAGGTGCATAATTATGAAAAAAGACATCTCCTTATCGTGCAACTGAAGAACTGATATATCTACATAATATATGTAGATTTAATACTTTTCTTTCTGATAATTTATGTAAAATTTGTAACAAATTAAATGTATATAACTGTCTCTCAAAAATCAAATAGTTCATTTTTGCCTGTAGAAGGGCGGCTCCAGCCCGAAAGCTCGCGTATATCATAATAAAAGAAACTCATTGCGAAAGGTTGTATTTTTATTTTTATTATATATATATTAACAATATATTTTTAAAAGTTTATACAGTTTAATTTTCAATCAATGTTTGAATATAGCCTTTTAAACGTTATAAACCTTTTTTGAATTTTGATTCCTCTAAAAAATTAAAGCATTTTAATGGTGAACTTAAAAAAGAAGAACATTGTATATATTGTGTATAAGAGAAATAAATGAACGTTACTTTCAACTCAAATTTTACACATTTTAAGTTGTCACACATGTTATAATACCTTGATAAAGGTTGGCGTTCATCCAACTGAAATATTGGTAAAATAAATGATATTTTGATCCAATATATGCCTTTTTTATTAAATACACATTAATATAAATTATATTCAAATTAAAAATAAAATAGGCATATACTGACCAGTAACACATGTGCTTTTCGGAAGGCAGAGCGCCATCTGGTGGAACAGAAATCAACTAAACATTGATTTAGCCTGTTACCTGATATTTGGCCAACCCAATTCCTTGATAAGTCAAGAAAAGCCATCCACGAATGCGTTTCGCGCTGTTGGTGCTCTTCAGCGTGGAGTAGGCTGTACTATATTCAAATACAATGCTAAAAAAGTTGCATAATTAAAAAGATATATAACTTCCTTTTAAATAGGCATATGATTGAGGAGGAATTGGCTTATTGGTGACACAATTGACGTCGCAGGAGTCGGAATGTCTGGACATCTTGTCCGATACTCGGAGTGGACAAAGGAATAGAGAATTTACTGGATAGATATAAGGAGAGAAGAACAGGAAGGCCGAGAATGGAGTTCATGGACAATTTCAGAAGAGACCCTACGATACCATCAAGACACTAGCCATAGAAAGGAAGCACCGCGAAGACAGGAATACTACCAGATCCAACGTAGAGATCCAGCTACCTATGTGTTGAGAGAATAAATATTCCTATAAAATTCTAATACATAACACTTCATGCATATATTACATATATTAAAAACTGTTGGATGTTAGAGTCAAATATTATTCTATGATTGTAATAATCTGTGACTTAAAATATGTGGTGTCAGGAATATATATAGGTGAGAGTTAATAGAGATGTGTTGTTAGAGAGATGGTATCAGTAATGTTTACTTAGATATATTTAGTAATTTATGTTACAATGAACAACATGTATATAATATCTTTAATGCTCTCCTGCTGGATAAAGCATTTGTTTATAAATATTTTAAATTTTTCAAGGCGATTGATAAAATGAGAGAAGAGGTGCTCAACTCCACAGACAACGGCTGATTGCTCCCCCTCCCCTCTGGATTGCTTTTCCTCCTCACTCATGTACATATATAACCTTCAGGGGAATCCCCTTGTAAGACAATAGTGTCTTAATAAAGGTTTTTTGTTTGTTGTTGTTGTAATTTATGTTTCTTGTACCTTCAATAAAGAATATTTATATTTTAGAAAGAGAAGTAATTATTGAGATCCACCACCAACAAAAACCATATATTATAATAGTAAATGAAAACATCAAAGTATGAATGTTTCAATCATTACATAAAACATACTTCTACTATCCTTACTGCGATGAAAAATAGAAGTTTGCTTTATATATAATAGAAACATTCGTGCTTCGATGTTTACATTTCTTATGTATAGATGGCAGGCGTTATAGTTTCATATTAATAAATTATAATAATGATTGATATTCGTTTCATGATTATATTGCATTCTTAGCTATTTTCGAAAACCATTTTTTGAAACTATTCAATTTCAAATAATATTTATCTATCTAGAGAGCAAATATGAACTAATTGCAAACGAGAATGTATTTATTTGAATAAATATGAATGCCTCAATTTATATATTTCACGAAATAATTTCAAATAGGAAGCAATAATTATTTTGTTTGTGAGCGAGAGTGATTTCTGTTTCTAAATAAAATTGATTTTTCACAGAAAGTAAATTTAAATTACCAAACACAATATTGGCTAAATAAAGGAAATAACAAAATATTGATTAAGAGTACAGCGCGCGCCAAACGCCATTATAGTCTGGAAATGATAATTTAAAGCCAAACGATAATAAGAATGAGGGGGGGGGGGTTAAAACCGGAAATAACATCTCCAGGGTGACCAAATTATTCCCTCGCTTACATTTGGGCGGATTAATTTCGTAGAAAAATTCGAGAAGAAAAAAAAAATGTTATTCTCTTGAGAAAATATTGGTCAATTGGTCCTCTTATTTACTCTATGATCAGAAAAATTAATGGGATTTTTCTTTATCATTGATAGCTAGGAATTTTTTTCTTGATCAAATATTGAATTAATATATAAATAGGTGGCAATTTTATATATTACGAGAATAATTTTTTAATAACGTTCATTATGTTATGAAATAATTTTAGGTACAAATAATAATGAAATAAAATTACACTTTAAAATTGTTTAATAGAGTCATCACACATACAAATCACAAACTATGAATAATATAAGGATATTGTCCTTTCCTTT